CTCCATAACGCCTTTGTTCTGAACTTGAAGATCCCGCAAAACTTGGGAGCTCCTTCACCTTCTTCTCTAAGCCTTCATTCACCCTCTGCTGATTATCCGGCCACCGTGGCTTTACCAGGCGCTTCCACCATTTAACTACATGCAGAGTCATGGCTGACCCCTTCTGATCAATTGCCAATCCATACAGGTTTGACTGATAAAAGAGCCAATTAGATTTAAGCAAATTAAGGGACATCACCAATGTCAACCACTTATTAAACCGAACACTGAATTCCATGCATACAAAACACAGATGCACAGAGCCCCATTAAGTGCTGAAATCCTAACCCCATTAGTAACTCCAGACCTTAGTGGGGTAAAGGTCACAGGGAGGTTTCATATTTATGGATTAACGTTTGGATTCCTTTTTATTTTTTTTTTAACTCTGCCTAGAACTCTTGTACTTGTTCCATAATGCTATTTGAGAGCTTGGATTAAAGTGATCTTTTATTTCCCAGAGTATCTTAACACTAACTAAGGAGTATTGTGTTTTAGAAATAATACAAAACAGACTGATTGCAGGATTTCAGAATCCTGAGAGCACAGGAGAGGTGGAGCTGGACTCCACTGGTACAGGCAAGAGATACTCCAGCAGGATCCCAGAGACTAAATATTAATGTTTTCTATTCAAGATTTTGGGGACTGAGTGCCATTAATGTGCATACTTAGCCCTTTGGTAGTGGTAACAACAGCTGTCTTTACTTCCTACCTTCAAATCACATGGGTTCACCAGATCTCCTTTGCGTGTATGTGTGTGGCTTTGTTCATGTGTCTGCATGCATGTACATGTGCATGTGGGAGACAGAGTTGACATTTGGTATCCTCCTCAGTCACGTTCCTGTTCCTCTTTCTGTTGGGAGACAGGGTCCCTCACTGAACCGGAGCGCTCTAATTCAGCTGGCCTGTCTGGCTGCTCTGCTCCACAGTGCTAGGTTCCTAAGTGTGAGCTGCATGCCTGGCGTGTAAGACACAGTTCTGGAGATTAAATGAGGTCCTATTGCTTGTGCAGCAAGTGCTTGGGCCAGTGAACCCTCTCACTGGCCTTGTGTTTCTTACGTTCAGTTCTCCCTTCAGCAAAAGGGAGTTGGAGACCAGTGATGAGACATCTCACAAGCATCAGCTAAGAGATGAGGAACAGTGATGAGACATCTCACAGGCATCAGCTAAGAGATGAGGACCAGTGATGAGACATCTCACAAGCATCAGCTAAGAGATGAGGACCAGTGATGAGACATCTCACAAGCATCAGCTAAGAGATGAGGACCAGTGATGAGACATCTCACAGGCACCAGCTAAGAGATGAGGACCACCGAAAATTCTTTTTTTAAAAAAACTGTGTGTGTGTGTGGTGTGCAATGCCAGAAGAGTTCAGCAGGGGCCATCAAATCCCTTGGAGCTTGAGTGATAGGTAGTTGTGAAGAACCTGACAGGTTCTAGGAACCAAACTCTAAAAAGCCCTCTGAAAGTACATTTTTTTTTCCCACTCTTAAGTACTGAGCCACTTTTTCAGCCTGGCATTTAAAATTCTTCATACTGATTTTCCTTGTCTCTCTTTTCCAAATTCTTGCATAAGCTAAGCAGTATTCATCCTATGCTCATCTGAGAAGAAGCAACCACCTAGGATGGGCAAATTCATGAAATGTGAGGCTATTTCTTACTCTAATTCTCTGGTCAGGGTTGCAGCTAGATTTACATGGACACAGCCTTTCTCCTGCACAGAGGAGGTCCTAGCTTTGCAGCTATCGCAAAGTGGAGACTGGATCTGAGAGAACATGAGGAATGACAACCAATGGCTTAATGATTATTGAACTCTTTATCTGGGTATGCATGGAGTATATGCATGCACATGCAGGAGCAGGTGCGTATATACATATGCTCGAGTGGATGCCAGGTGTCCGGATTGGTTGCGCCCCACCTTATTCACCCGAGACAGTGGCTCTGGCTGAACTGCAGCTCGCTGTTCTGGTTAGATTGGCTGGTGGCAAACCACCCACAATGATCCTCCTGCCCCGATGCCCCACAGTTCTGGGGTTACAGACATTCTTAGCTACATGGACTATGCTGTGTGCTGGGGACCTGAATTCAGGTCCTCATGCTGTGTAGCAAGCGCTTTACCTATGAGCCATCCCCTCAGCCTCTCATTAAGCCATCCTGACCAACTTATTCATGCACTCACCAATTATTCATCACACACCTACCATGTGCCAGGTTTGATCTAGGCACCGAAGATAAAAAAGATCAGGGAATAGCCCCTGCTATGTGGAATCTTACAGGGAGAAAGCGTGATGGTCAAATTAAACAGGTGATTTCAATACACATGGGTGTACTCTGGGCTCTAGAGTAAATCTCAGGCTAGGTTGGCAAGAGATAGCATGCTGATGAACTGACTAAGTAGGTGAATTTACTCATGTAAGTGAGTGGACGTGTGTGTGTGTGTGTGTGTGTGTGTGTGTGTGTGTGTGTGTGTTTGTGTCCATGCAGGTGTATATGTGTGTGTGCATGTGTGCCTGCACATGTGTGTGAGTGCATGTGTGCATGCATGCATGTGTGTATATGTGTGTATGTTTGGCAAGTGTTTGTGTGCCCACGTGATTGTGTGGAGACACAGGACATTGGGTGTCTTGATACAACCTTCTTCCCCTTATTTCCTTGAGACAGAACCTTTACTGAACCTTGACCTCACCATTTTTGTACGAGGGTGAGTGTCATTTAGACCAGGAGGTACCCACTGTCTCTCCCTTCACATCCCCAGTACTGGGGTCACAGGCATGCAGTCATGCCCAGCTTTTACATGAGAGCAGACTTTGCAAAGGCGCCTCCTCATGTTTCTGAAGTAAGCACTCTCACATGCTGAGCCACCCCCCCCCAGCCCTGCAGGTAATATTTGATAGCAAATTCTAGGTAAAGAAAAACCAGTGGCATTCCCCCCACCACACTTTCTGTTGTGGTGTTTTTGATGTATCTGAAAAGAATCCATAGCTCAGGCTACTTCATTTCAAACCTCCCATTCATTATCCAGCAGAGAAAGACACTAGGAACTCGGCATCACCATTAAAGAGGTCAGCCACTGAAAGCAAAGAAAAGGCAGTGCCTGTACCAGCCAAACACAACGAAGCCAGCAGCACACAGAAGCACCTCTGCCCGTCGGTTCCCTTCTGCGTGCTGGCTCATTTACTGTCCATTTCAGTATGAAGCACAGCTCACTGGAAGGCATGCAAGATTTCTTTAATAACTCTCAGCACTAATTTAATTCTACTTAAACACACATATTCTACTGAATGCCACATGCTTTTCAGCATGATTTTTATGTGTAAATCATGATAATATGTTTTCAGCTCATTAAGTAAAAGGAAGCATGAACTAAAACCTATTTAATCAATGAGGTGTCACCTTTAAACTGCCACAAGGTCATAAAAAAGATCATTTCAAAGCGATAAGTTTCCTAATTGTAATCAACAACAATCTAATGACGGGAGAAAATAAGTCCTAATGGTGGCAATAAAGTGGCGCATACTCTATCTCTAAGGATACTGCTTCCTCTTTGGGTGAAGGGTCACCTCCCTAATCTGGACTTCTGGGTACTTACTCTCAATGGCTACACTGATCCCAGATGGTGTGAGCCACAGAGGAACCTCAGCTTTGCCACACACCCATAAAGCAATGACCTAGTTACTTCTATTTCCATTACATTGATCTTTGTATTGGTAAACAGACCCTCACGTGTGAACTGAGTGAGCAATAGGATTGTGCTATTTTAGCCGAGTCATTATCCCACATGCACAGAAGACCTTACTTGAACATACAGGCTTGAATCCACGGACAACGTATGAAGCAGGCTCCTTTGTGAACACAAACTGAATTATTAAAAATTAACAATGATCTAAGCCAGTATAGACAGCTGTAAAAGGAGTACATAGTAAGGTTCTTCAATGCCTGAAGTTTGGCTGCAGGACAGACACTAGATCTCCTTGGTCCTTCTCCTGGAGTATGTTCAGAAAGCCCACATTCTGAGACTCAAGTGAGAGCCATGTTCTTATTACTCTGAGACATGCTTCCTGTTCAGGAGCTGTGAATACCAATCTTGGGGAGATTTCTTCTTGCCACTTAGACCTCACAAATAGTTAGGACATGGGTGGAGACTGCATATTTTCTAGGATAATTATGATTATTTAAACTGCACCAATTTTAAATAGAAATATTCAAAATAAACATACCCAGAATGCATTGCATTTTACACAGGAAAGGCTGTCATGACTGCTAGGATGAAGTGTTTATTCAGTGTGTGAATGAGAGTCCTATTGTAACAGGCACTTGCTGATCCTTACAAAGAGGACCTATATTTTAAGTTTGATATTATCAATATGTCCTGCAAAGGGGCAAAGGGGTCATACCTTTTCACAATTTTTCAGTAGTCCCTGAACACTGAGGCCCCATCCCCACCCCATTGTCTGTCTCCTTCCAAATACGTTGTCAAAATTGAAAAATCTGTCAAGTTGAAGAAAGGAGAAAACAAAAAACCAAACTACTAATTAAAAAAACAACATATTTATTAATGTTCTTAAGATATAGATACCCAGAGATACCTGTATATACAGATATACACATACACATGGCCACACACACACATACACATGTATACAGACACACATATGCATACACATACACAGACAGATATAGATAGACACACACACATGCACACATGTACACAGGCAGACAGACACACACACATGCACACACACACACACACACACACACACACACACACACACACACTGTAAGAAGAAAACATACTCATCAAAGCAATAAAAGGATATCAATAATGAGTTTTCAAAAAACCAAACTGCCCAAACACTCAGAACTACAACTGAGCCTCTAAGTTGTAAAATAAAGTGTCCAACAGTCACTCGGTTCTAGGCTTCCTGTTTAAGTCCGGACGCCGACGACAGTTTTCACAGACTCACCTGCTGGAGGCATGTCAACAGAGACAGGGTCACTGAGCACACTGCCCCGGCTGTTGGAAGCATTCACTTGTACTGTGTAGTGTGAGTAAGGAACCAAGCCGTCCACCAGCACCCAGAGCTGCTTCCCTTCACTGCTGTGCATGGTTTTCGTGCCACTGAGAAGGGTGTAGTTATCCCCTGCTGATTGAAGAGGAAAATTACATTTAGTGATGATTTTCTTTGGTTACTTGAGTATTTTCTTGGGTTGATAAAGATGCGATGTCAAGCTGAATTAAGATATAGATACCCAGAGATACCTGTATATACAGATATACACATACACATACACATGGCCACACACACACATACACATGTATGCAGATACACATATGCACACACATACACAGACAGACAGATATAGATAGACACACACACATGCACACATGTACACAGGCAGCACCGATTGCATGTGTTCCCATCAGTGTGTACATTCACTTCAGCTTGCTATGAATAAAACAAAGGCTGTGCTAGTACCTACAGATCACTGGCGTCAAACTGACTTGATATGCAAAGACAATATGTTGTTATATAACAAGCACTATGCATACAAAGAAAAAGTGTCCAGATATAGAAATGGATCCCTTGATGATTTATTTATTTATTTTTCATAATCCTTGAGTTTTCTTTAATATACAGAAAGAAAGAAGTAACGCCTCCCGGTAAAATGGTTCTGTCTATAGATAGCACACTCTGACATCTGCTGTCTACCTCTCACCCTGCTTGAGCGTTAGCCTGGCCTGTTTCTATTTAATCCTTAAACTGGGATTGCTCAGAACATCATAAAACAGTTGCTGTGGGTGGGCTGCCAGATGTGTCCATATTGACCTGAACATCTGTATCCAGCTTTCTTAGCAGATGAAGAAGCCTTTGGTTGCATAAAGCAATCGCTTCCCATGTACCCTCACTGTATCCCACCACCTCCATCCTGTCAAATCTCTGGTAAACCCATCTCAAATCCCAGTCTGTATAGGACATAGAGAAATGCTGCACCCTGGTAATAATGGCTCCTCTCTTCCAAACCCTGCATAACATTCATGGCAAAAAGAGAGTGGAGGAGAACTAAAAATTTTTAGAATTAAAAAAAGAACCGAGTTAGAGTTTAAAAATATGACATTTACTTGAAAAGTCACATTTTTAAAGCATACATGGAGGAAACATTGTTTTTAGTTTTAGTCAAATATAGGAGTGTGTTAGATACTCTTTAAAAACACAAGGTAAAGAACCATTAATAAATACCATTAATTACATCAAACAGGCTGCCTTCCTTTGTCAGAGTGTTTCCTGTTATACATTTATTCCAACAGCTTTGAGAAAAACGAGTGAAAACCACCAGGATACTGGATATAGAGGAAGCAAAGATATCTGCAAGACCTAGCAATAACAGCATACTATTTGATTAAAGTGTAAAAGACGGTCACATGATATAAGCAATTTTACATTGTAAAGAAATTTGAATGCCTACAATATTTGTAAAGTCATATCTTCATAAATTAGCAGAAAAAGTGCAAAGAAATGAATGCACACAGTGATTATCATACCGTTCCACTATGAAAGTTAGTTAAGTTCTTACTTTCCTGCACCCAGCATAAAATGTGTGCTAAAAAACAAAAAACAAAACAAAACGAAACAACAACAACAACAACAACAAAAACGAAACAAACAAAAAAACACCTGAGTGATTTGGGCTTCTTAGCCTGATCTGCATATAACGACACAAAACTAAGAAGCATGCGTGGGTGGTTCATCAATGTACGCAGCTTATTAACTGCCCTGTGAAAAATTCTACCCAGCTCTCTCATAACAATGAATAAAACAATAAGGACCGCTGCTGTTTTTGCTGTAATCCATACAAATTCTACCTGCAAACATTGAGCATTGGCAAGTGGTTAAGATGGAAGCACCTGGAATTTTGTTTTCTCAGTGATCATTAACTACAGGTTAATCATCAAAAGGCATCGTTGTTCATTTAAGCGACCAGCACAAACCTGATCACATCATGCTGTTGTGCTATCAGGTAATATTCCAAATTCTAAAACTAACAGGAGTCTCATAGTTGGTTAGGGTGTGGTCATTTTATGAAATGTGGGTAGGGTAGATAAAGCTAGACATATACAAAAAAGATATTTACACTATTTATAATAATTTCAGGCTGAAGGAAGTAGCTGAAAATTTTATTGTGACAAAGTATGCACAGTGAAGTGTCTTCTGTGGCCACAAGAAACCCCACAATAATTTGTGATTTGGGTCTTGAGATTGATACAGGCAAAGGGATGATTATCCCAGAGAAAATAATCAGTGTTCATGGACTAGAACACTGGGAAGCATAATTGCTGTTCATTTCCAATGAAGAAATGTTCCAAGTTTACAGAGTGACATCAAGTCCAAAATGGAGAACTCTTATCTTGACATTTATGCAATGTAATGCCCACGGAGTTCTGAATGCAGCTTTTAAGGGCTCACTCCACTCAAGTTCCTTCTGAATGATGCCACGTTAGCACGTGGAAGTTCTTTATGGCTAGCTTTGTGACTTGATTTGATTGAAGTGCTGTTTGTAAGGAGCCTATGGTGCCCATGAGTTGGCACCCAAATGCATAAAATAGGGTCCCTGCTCTCAAGAGGTCTGCTGAGAGGACATGCAGGTCTTTTCTGATCATTGTCTATGCACAATCACATGATCGCATCAGCACATCTCTAGGTCTCAGGACACCCAGCTCTTTAGAAGCATTTTTACTTCTGGCTGAAGCAACGGCTGCTGTTGTCACATGCTTAGCTGTAAAATCCCCCAAAAAGGTCACCTTACCCTCCAGAGACCCAGACAGATGCTCATCTGACAAGGAAGTTGTGTAATTTGTGCATCTTATGAAATATTGAAAATTGTAAAACACCAACAAAAGTCTACAATTATGTCACAAGAGAATAATTTTACCTATTTCTAGCCAGGCACAAACACAAGGGTACGCATCTGTGCTCAGAACACTGGTGGAGGTATCTTCCTTCCTTTGATTTGTTTATTTGTATTGGAAGCAATTTTTGAGCTATAAAACAGACCCTATCCTCTATTTTTCTCTGAAAATGGCATGGCAGAGAGAAATATATTAAGTACCACTTTATTCTAAGTTTGCCATATAATGACATTAATACATGGTAATTATACAATTAGTTGTAATGTTAGTTTCTAGCTATAGAACAATGATTACTGAGTAATTATAAGAAGTATATAATTACTCAATAATTATGAGAAGGAAGTAATTATATAACCATTTTGCTCAGCTCAAAAACGAACACGTGTATCTTCAGGAGCCATGCAGCTGAGTGAGTGTGATCTTCTCTTGTGCCTCCACAAACACATGGTTCCCAGAACCTAGAGAGACAGTCAGGACTTCCACTCTCCAGGTTCAAAATTGAACGTGGATCCACAGGTCAGAGCTCTTTGTCCATCCCATCACCTGCCCCTTCCCCTTCTCTCTCAGCTCCATGACTTTGGGCTCTTAGATAAGGGGGCCGATTTGCTAAAATGCACAGCATGGGATCGCCCCTCTGCACCGAGCTGCGCGTTAGCATTTTCTTCTGCCTGTACATAAATTCCTGTGGGCTGGAAAGGTGCATCCACATTGGTTCAGTCTCAAAAACTAAGCTAGGGAAGCCCGAGGTGAAACGTACTCTGTCACAGTGTCCACTCCTGTTTGCTCAGCCTAAGCCCACACTGTGTGGATGTGATAGTGGGTGGTGAATGTCCCTTTAGGTTTCAGGGTTTGGGAACCACAGCTTACCACACCCTGAACTCCAGTCATTGTGATGGTTAGCAGTGCCTCTCTGATCCACGCTGGCCTAGCTTGACTCGAGGCCCTGGGCTTCAAGCCCATTGAGGGGGAACTAGACTCTTTGCAGAATGGGCTGTTTTTAGCAGTAATCCAGGGTTCATCCCCACTGCAGTCACTTAGAGCCATCTCACAAAATTGCATACACCTGAGCTGTGCACTAACCTACTTTGGGAGGCTATCAGCATAGAAGCCAGAAATCACTGAATGATTCATTCTTCAACATGCTGAAATTTGAGAGCTACTGACTGAATTATTTATTTGTAGTTATGCTATTTTAAAAAATTTATTTATTTGTATGAGTGTTTTATTTGTATTTATGTCTGTGCATCTCGTGTATGCCTGATGTCCATAGAGGTCAGAGGAAGGTATTGGATTCCCCAGGAACTGAAGTTATAGATAACTGTAAATCACCAAATGGGTGTTGGGAACAGAACCTGAGTCCTTTGCAAGAGCAACAAGTGCTCTTAAATACTGGGCTCTCTCTCTAGCCAACAGTTCAGCTACTCTTAGAGTAATGATCCCAGCTCATCTCATCTACTTCTAGAAGTAGCTGGACCACACATGGCTTTCTAGCTGATAAAGCTTTAGACTCTGGCTATAGGCTGTAAAATGTTTATTCTGTTAGTAAATTAGCCTTATAAAGAGAGTATCATGCTATGGGATGTTCTGTATGTCCTGTGGGAGCCCGTTCTCGGGTTCCTCGTGGCTTTACCCAGCAGGTCCACATAGAGGATGATTAGGACCATGGGCCTGAGTGCAGGTGTCTGAGATGGTCTGCACTTGGCTGTGCTGTGGGATGGTCTGTATGTCAAGTTGCTCTGATTGGCCCGTGGCTAGGCAGGAAGTATAGGCGGGACTAACAGAGAGGAGAAATAAAAGAACAGGAAGGCAGAAGGAGTCACTGCCAGCCACTACCCTGACAAGCAGCATGAAAAGATGCCAGTAAGCCACAAGCCGCGTGGCAGGGTGTAGATTTGTGAAAATGGATTAATTTAAGCTATAAGAACAGTTAGCAAGAAGCCTGCCACGGTCATACAGTTTGTAAGAAATATAAGTCTCTATGTTTACTTGGTTGGGTCTGAGTGGCTGTGGGACTGGCAGGTGACAAAGATTTGTCCTGACTGTGGGCAAGGCAGGAAAACTCCAGCTACAGTATAAAGCTAACAAATAGGACCTATTTTCAAAATACAAAATCCAACACAATTGTTGTATGAGAAATTTTGATATATGCATGAAAGAATTTTAAAGTGAGTTATCATTGATTACTGTGGCATCTAGGACAATAATAACCCTCAGATTTTCTGTGTCTTCTCCTTCTGT